CATATATTACCACACAAATGTGGAAATTTGAAATGATGTTATAAAATGCCAACAGTCACGACTGAAGATAAACTTTGCTCAGAAATCAATGCCTTTTTTAAGTAATATACCATGAAAAAGACGTGGCCTTTTTGTTTATTTTTAAAAAATAGAGCAGTGTCATTGAATTTACGTCAAAGATATCTTATAAATTCCGCATTTACAGTTGCCAACTTATTTGATAAACGTACGAAAACTGAATGTTATAGTCACAGCAATGTTGAGTAAATTTCAGTTAAACAGCAGTCGAAGTTATAAACCAATTTTTTTCTTCCCTTAATAGTTGAACTGTACCCAAGAAATCCTTATGCACACACAATCTATAAACGTAAATTTTTCCGGAACATATATCAGATTCAGAAACCTAGTTCAGAGAACAGAAGCGAAAAGCCTGTATTTAAGGAATAGATGTTTTTTTATTAGAGTTTATGGATTTTAGTATATATTATATGCAAACAGAACACTGCTGTAAAACAGATTTAAACAATGTACGGGAAAGAGCTCCAATGTAGAAGTTAGGAAGAATTAAAATTCTGCTTGACCTCAACATTAAAACTTACACTAAAGCTTACAAAAAAAAACTGAATTTTTTTGTTTCTTAAAAGAAATATAAACTGTTAGATAAATTTTCACTTAGAAATAATATACCCATAACAGTGAAAAGATTTCTTAAATATTACAGCTAAAATTGCTACTAGTGGTTAGATGAAACCTTCTAAATGTAAAAAAAGATGATTGTAATCTCAGAGCATTTAAATAAATCTGAATTTTTTCCTTTTTTCCAAAACATATACTTTTCAAAAGACAATTAATAAATTTTACAGTGGTATACATTATGACAAATTTTAAAATTTATAAAACATTGAAAGCTGCAATAGTTATATCTTAATTTTTTTCATTTTCAGATCAAAAATTATTCATTTAAACCCTAAAGATAATCAGATAAATTGCTTTTTAAATTTTTTGAAGTTTAAAAAGGTATGTGAAAAATATATAGCAATCATCGCAAAAGTTTATCAGTATATCAGTCATTAGTTCTTTGAGACAGGTTGTAATTTTTAGCATAAATAGATGATTTATACTTTTTTAAAGTATTTTAAAGCACTGTATTTCAATACCATAAAATTTTGAATCTTTGAAGCATTTTCAGAAAAAACAAGGCAAATTCAATGCAAAAAAAAAAAAAAAGAATCTTGAAAAGTAAATTTTTATTAAAGTCAATACAATTTTTCTTCTTCTTCTTTATCTTCAAATTTGTTGTTATGTTGTTGCATAAATATTTCCTATAAGTTTAGGTAAAAATTTAAAGCAGTCACTGAAATCTTTGGTCTGATATCTAAAAATTCAGAATATTATTGTCAATAATTTTTTTTCAGTAAATTTATGCACAAAAACGTACAACAGTATTTGTTTTCTTCTATTTTATATAGTTATGCCTTATAGCTAACATCTGACAAATTCGTCCAGTTTTTCACAACAAGTGTTTAGTTTGCGTAAATTTATGAGAATATATAAAATTGAATTAAAAGAATAGAAAAAAGAAAAGAGAATTTGGAAAAAAAAAAAAGGAAATGAAGAAAAAAAGTTAATATAAAGTGCTGGAAAGTAACAGAACCTTTGATGATCAAACATTACTTTATTTCATAAATTATTGCAGTTAACATAATTATAATTTCAAAATAAGAAAAAAAAAATTATAATCAAATAAAATTGAATTTCTAAAAAGGAAAAAAAACTTTTTTCAAGCACAGATTTCTATTATAATCTTACTACTCTTTAATTAACCCGTAACGTTCCTCTTAGTCAAGTTCTTTAGTGCTTTTTTTTTTTTTTACTTAATTATCAGCTTTTTTATATGATCTTTGATTGAACCAAATGTGTCAGGCGCTTTTTCAAACTGCTAATATCATAGTCTGAAGAACAATATGGAACAATCAGTGGAACAATTTTTTAATATTTTTAAAATAAAATTTTTTTCCTTTTTACAATTCAGTGTACAAACTTTTAGCTTCAATTAGTTAAGAAATTGAAAGCAAATAAAGTTGGGCATTTGGTAACAAAAAAATGATACACCGCACGGTACATACAGATGCAATGTTGTTAACTTTAAAACTATGCAAATAAAAAGATGGGTAAAATTTGTTGGTCAAATTCAAATGCTTTTATACTTTGACTGTATAAACTATAGAAACTTTTTTTTTTTTTTTCTTCTGCACTTAGTAATTGTTAAATAGAAAACAACAAGAATTCTTTGAAAGTTTTGGAAGATTGTCGACAAAAGTATCAATCAATTCTTTGTAACTGTATATTTGTGATTAAAGTTCATTGTTCTTTTTTTTTTTTT